CACCTGTGTGTTACCTGTGTGTTACATGTGTCTCACCTGTGTGTTACCTGTGTGTTACATGTGTCTCACCTGTGTGTTACATGTGTCTCACCTGTGTGTTACATGTGTCTCACCTGTGTGTTACCTGTGTCTCACCTGTGTGTTACATGTGTCTCACCTGTGTGTTACCTGTGTGTTACATGTGTCTCACCTGTGTGTTACCTGTGTGTAACATGTGTCTCACCTGTGTGTTACCTGTGTGTTACATGTGTCTCACCTGTGTTTTACCTGTGTGTTACATGTGTCTCATCTGTGTGTTACCTGTGTGTTACATGTGTCTCACCTGTGTGTTTCATGTGTCTCACCTGTGTGTTACCTGTGTCTCACCTGTATGTTACATGTGTCTCACCTGTGTGTTTCCTGTGTGTTACATGTGTGTTATAAGTGTCTCACCTGTGTTACATGTGTGTTACATGTGTCTCACCTGTGTGTTACCCGTGTGTAACATGTGTCTCACCTGTGTGTCACCTGTGTGTTACATGTGTGTCATCTGTGTATTACCTGTGTGCTACCTATGTTTTACATGTATCTCACATGTGTGTTTCCTGTGTTACATGTGTCTCACCTGTGTGTTACGTGTCTCATCTGTGTGTTACCTGTGTGTAACATGTGTCTCACCTGTGTGTTACATGTGTCTCATCTGTGTGTTACCTGTGTGTAACATGTGTCTCACCTGTGTGTTACCTGTGTGTAACATGTGTCTCACCTGTGTGTTACATGTGTCTCACCTGTGTGTTACCTGTGTGTTACATGTGTCTCCCCTGTGTGTTACCTGTGTGTTACATGTGTCTCACTTGTGTGTTACCTGTGTGTTACATGTGTCTCACCTGTGTGTTACCTGTGTGTTACATGTGTATCACTTGTGTGTTACCTGTGTCTCACCTTTGTGTCACCTGTGTCTCACCTGTGTGTTACCTGTGTGTAACGTGTCTCACCTTTGTGTCAGCTGTGTGTTACATGTGTCTCACCTGCGTGTAACATGTGTCTCCCCTGTGTGTTACCTGTGTCTCACCTTTGTGTCACCTGTGTCTCACCTGTGTGTTTCATGTGTGTAACATGTGTCTCACCTGTGTATTACCTGTGTGTTACATGTGTCTCACCTGTGTGTTACATGTGTCTCAGCTGTGTGTTTCCTGTGTCTCACCTGTTTGTTACATGTGTCTCACCTGTGACCTACCTGTGTCTCACCTGTGTGTTACATGTGTCTAACATGTGACCTACCTGTGTCCCACTTGTGTGTTACCTGTGTGTTACCTGTGCCTCACCTTTGTGTCACCTGTGTCTCACCTGTGTGTTACATGTGCCTCACCTGTGTGTTACATGTCTCACTTGTGTATTACATGTGTCTCACCTGTGTTTTTTCTGTGTCTCACCTGTGTTATCTGTGTCTCACCTGTGTGTTACCTGTGTCTCACTTGTGTTTTATCTATGTCTCACCTGTGTGTTACATGTGTCTCACCTGTATTTTATCTGTGTCTCTCCTGTGTGTTACATGCGTCTCACCTGTGTGTTACCTGTGTCTCACTTGTGTTTTATCTGTGTCTCACCTGTGTTTTATCTGTGTCTCACCTGTGTGTTACATGTGTCTCGCATGTGTTTTATCTATGTCTCACCTGTGTGTTACCTGTGTCTCACCTGTGTTTTACTTGTGTCTCACCTGTGTGTTACATGTGTCTCACCTGTGTGTTACATGTGTCTCACCTGTGTGCCACATGTGTCTCATCTGTGTGTTACATGTGTCTCACCTAGGGCATTAACAGAGTACTCGAGTAATCTACACATCGATTGCTAGGACATCTATCGAGGTTAAAAATGTAATGTCGAGTAACCATAGTGACGTCATATTATGTGACCACCGTATGACCGTAGGGGGCGGTGTTGCACTGTTGCAGGTCACAAAGTATGGTGTAACACCGGGTCCAATCCACCGCCCATCCATTGTTTTAAGTTTTGTTTCTGACGTGCTTAGTTTGCAGTTTAATAATAATAACCAATAGTTTAGTTTTCCCTGTGACTTTTTTGCAGTATGATAAATGGTAGGAGCATAATATACGCTCCCAATGTTTTTTTTTTTTTTTTTTTTTTTGTAAATAATTACCTTTTATTGCGGTTTTATTTATTTTTGTATCTTGAGATCTATGACGTCATCAAATACTCGAGTTCTACTCGGGTTTTATTATGTTAATGTTGAGTTTAAAAATTATATACTCGTTCAACCCCTAGTCTCACCTGTGTGTTAGGGTCGTATGTGAGCTGAAATCCAGTGGGACAAAGAAAATTGGACCTGTCGAGATTAAAGTTGGATCTTCTCTACCTGGAAGGTCAACACAGATATTTACTTATCAGGTGAGAGTCAATCATAAGATTTTTTTCCCACTCAACCTTTTTTTTTACAGGTTAGTCTCATTTAGCCTCATCGACTCATTTACAAGAGAGACATGTTTTAAACAAAGAACACAGATGAGGTACAGACAACAATAGACAATCATAAATTGTTTAACAATGAATCAAAAACGACTACATTATAAAACTATGTAAAATCCGTAAAACAGGAACATGTCGTGTTGGCTTTTGCCATGACCTTAACAATTGTTTAAAATCCCTTCGAGGTCACAGTCGAGAGCTTCAGATCTTTTTGCGAGGTTTTCCAGGTTACAGGAGTGGAGTAGGAGAAGGTCCTTTTTGCCTAGTTCAGTCCACACTGAGGGAACACTGCAGGTAATAAAGTCCTGAGAGTGCACGCTTTAGGAGGTGTGTTGATCACAGCCTATTGCAGCATGGCCAACTCAGAAGAACCAGCTCCTCAGTTTAACTGAGAAAGCTGCTCCGATGAGAAAAGAAACACCTTGAAGACGTGTATTGAACGTTTTTTGAATTCATCATGTCCTGGATGACTGAGAATCTTCACCAGCACCTTGAAGACGTGTTTTGCATTCAGAACTTGATGTCATGACTGAGTCCTCTTCTTCCTGCCTTAGTGTGATTTTTTAAAACTTTTTTTTAAGATTGAAATTAGTGAACTCATCATGTTGCTGTTATACCTCTGAGCCATCCAGGTGGTGACAGCACCATAATGCTTAGTCCATGAAGGTGAAAGCTCATATTATGGAACAGTTATAGTTAGAAGGCCTTATGAGTTTTGCTGGAAATACTGTGACATTTATTGAGCTTCAGTTTAGCTAAGCCTGATTTTGTTCAGAACAGGTCCAGTTCTGGTTCTGACCTTATATCTCGCATCTCAGGCTCTGGCTATCTAATAATAAAAATAATAATGAATTTAATTTGTAACGCACTTTTCATTAACAAAAATCTCAAAGTGCTACAGAGTGCAATTAAAATCAATGATAAAATCAATTAAAATCAGTGATAAAATCAACTAAAATCTGTGATGAAATCAACTCAAATCAATGATAAAATCAACTACAATCAACTAAAATCAACGATAAAATCAACTAAAATCAATGATAAAATCATTGATACAATCATGTGGAGGCAGAATAGGCTTGCTTAAAAAGAAAAGTCTTTAAGCCTTTTTTAAAGTCATTTTTAATCTCAGCTTGTTCCTAGTACAAACATCAAAGTGAAGTTTACTGGTTTCATAGTATGTGTCTACCCGCTGAATGAAATGGAAGCCTTGGTCTGGTTTCTGTCTAGGATCCACAGCTCATGGAGCTGGTTCCAGATAAAGGTCCAGTTTCTGGGGGAACCAGGCTAACCATCAGAGGCCAACAGCTGCTGACGGGACAAAAGTTGGACCTGAGTGCATTCCTGGGCTCATATCCGTGCTACATGTGAGTTGTACACCACTTCTGATATTACTGTTGCAGATACAAGTACTGTAGCTGATACTAATCTATGTGTCGATTACTCGAGTAGTCTGTTAAAGCCCTAATATATATACTATATA